CCAGAGCAGCACTATGTAATAGAAATGTAATACAAGCCACATCCATGAAAGTAAATTTCCCAGTAGCCAAATTTAGTTTCCACTTACTCCTAAGTTACTAAAATATCAGGAATCAAAACTGTGTTAAGGATTTTTCAGCACCCATTGAAATAAATTTATTTTTTCTCATTAGAAAATTACATTGATAGTATATGTTTTTGAGTCATACCTCCTCCATTGCTGGGATAAACACAACATAGTCTTACTGAATTCCATTCCTGGGTTTCATTTCAATCTGTTTAGAGTTATTATATCTTTTAAATAAATGAAGTTGAGCTATGTTTATTATTGCTTGGAACCAGTGCAATGGTAGGCTCACAATGTGAGTCTCCCTCCCACTCTCTAAAAATCACTGGACAAAATACCTTTGGATGGACAAACGAACCCATAGGGGACGCTGGTGCCTTTAACCATAGAGCTGGTCCCAGGCTGGGCTCTCCGGAAACAGATGCTGAGACTATTTGTAAATGGAAGAGAATGTGTGTTTAATTGGATCAAATTCCCTGCCCACCAGGGAATTCCTTCTCCAGAGAAGTCTCAGTTCTGCATTTAAAGCCTTTCAACTGGTTGACTCGGGCCCAGCTAGGCCACCTAGACCGTGGTCGGCAAACTGCGGCTCGCAAGCCACATGCGGCTTTTTGGCCCCTTGAGTGTGGCTCTTCCTAAGCCTTAGGAGCACCCTAATTAAGTTAATAACAGTGTACCTACCTATATAGTTTAAGTTTAAAAAATTTGGCTCTCAAAAGAAATTTCAATCATTGTACTATTGATATTTGGCTCTGTTGACTAATGAGTTTGCCGACCACTGGCTAGGATGATCTCACTTCCTTAGTCAGTTGATTATGAACTTTATTATTTTTTGTTGTTAATCCTCATCCCAGGATATTTTTCCACTGATTTTTAGAGAGAATGGAAGGGAGGCAGGGAGGGGAAAGAGGGAGAGAGAAACATCAATGTGAAAGAGATACTTCGATTGGTTGCCTCCCACATGCTCCCCAAACAGGGCCAGGGATCCATCTGCAACTCAGGTGGGTGCCCTTGACCGGAAATGAACCCAAGGCCCTTCAGTCCACGGCTGATGCTCTATCCACTGAGCCAAACCTGCTAGGGCTGTTAACCACTCTTTTGCCCACTACTCTGTTGATAAGTTTGAAAATGGAGCCTGCTCGTGGTAAGCACGGGCCTCACTCTCTGCCATTGCTAAAATAAGGAGGGTGGTTAAGAACTTGATTGTTCTCAGGCAAAGCTGAATTCCTTCTTCCTCCCGCTCCGGCTCCACCATTAATTTTAAAGCTCCATGTCTAGTAACATTGTGCAGATCTCTCTGTGATATGGACTACAGTATTTCCCTCCAGTTTGTATTTTATTTTGGCTGAAGGTGTGGGCTACCTTGCAGAATTTATTTTTCTGTAGCCAACCTTGACCTATTTTCATTACGGCTTCAAGGTTTTGAGTTAGTTAGAAAAGTCAGTCCTAGCCCTAGCTGGTTTGGCTCAGTGGATAGAGCGTCGGCCTACAGACTGAAGGGTCTCGGGTTCGATTCCGGTCAAAGGCACATGCCTGAGTTTCGGGCTAGATCCCCAGTAGGGGGTGTGCAGGAGGCAGCCGATCAATGATTCTCTCTCATCATTGATATTTCTCTCTCTCCCTTTCCCTTCCTTTCTGAAAGGTATTACTCCCACATCCTTGAAATGATCCTTACCTTAAAGGCCACTTATTTTGGGCAAAACCATTGGACTTAAACACAATGGAGGAGGTATGATTAACAATCTTTAAACATGGTTGAATATCTTTAGCCTTGTAATTGGAAAACTACTGAGTGTATGGCTTAAGGGACCTTAGACAAGTCTAAGATGGAGTGCTGAGGAGCACGACTGTTAAGTTCTAAATCCTCGTATTACACAACTAATTTTGGAGTGTGGCTTTAAGAGTCTTATGTTATTGGAGGGCCGAGCACAGAACATGGTTAAAGACCATTATATTGTTAGAGTGCCAATAAGGTGGTACCGTTAAGGGTGGTCTCAGATGGGTGTGATTGGATACCCCAGGCTGTGACACTAAGGAATTGTTTGGTCAAAATGGAAAGACCCCCTGGGATTGGAGTGCTGGGGACAGTGTATTATTAAGGAGGCTCCATAATGGGAGAAGTAGGGACGAAAGCCTGACAAAAAGCAGGAAAGGTGGTTAGGAGATGGTTTAGCAAAGACAGCAATAGACCTTTGAGAGCTAAGAGGCGAGAGATTTCCAGAAGGGGAGCTGTCACAGCAGCCAAGAGAAGAGGCAGCTCCAGATGCAGGTGGGCTCCAGAGGAAGCCACATTCTCTGGAAGAAACCTGGAAGGTTCCCCCCCTCCCCCCTGAAATGTCTGAATACAGTTCCTAAATTTTCTCCCTATGTACGGGACTAGACTTTCTAATAAATATACTAGTGACCCAGTTCTTATGTCTTCCAAGGAATTGAATTCTTGTAGAACAGTGGACTTAGGAATTCAAGATTATCTGTACCACTCCCGATTCCCTATTTTTATAGATGAGTAAATGAGGTACAAGGCTAAGGTAAGAGAGTTGTAAAGAAGCAACGTTTATTAGAATAGAAGGCCACAAAACATGAAGACTTAGTGTGAAGAAAGTAAATGAAGCCAAATGTCCTCTGACCACTTATGGAATGCATTTTTCTATACCATTTCATCAAAGTGTAAAAATGTTGAGTATTTAGTCCTCACCAGCATTTTCACTCTTAAAGAGAGTGTAACAGGTCGGAAGATTGCTCAATAGGTCTGTCAGTCTGGAGTGGCAGTTTGTGGTGGAGAGATTTCATTCTCCTGTGTCTGTTGAGGTGAGCCTCACCCACATGTCTTGCACACCTAAGGCTTCTCCTCCTGGTGTGTCATCTGATGTAAGATGAGGTATGACTTTTGGATAAAGCCTTGGCCACATACTCTGCATACACAGGGCTTCTCTTTTGAATGTGCCCATTTATGGGTGAGTAAAGCTGACTTACTGCTGAAGCCTAGTCCGCACTGCTTGCACATGTAAGGCTTCTCCCTCGAGTGTTTCCTCTTGTGCCTGATGAGACCTGCCTGGTGACTAAAGCCCCGCCCACACTCTCTGCACACATATGGCTTTTCCCCTGAGTGTGTCCTCTGGTGTGCAATGAGGTTTGACTTCTGGCTGAAGCCTCGCCCGCACTCCTCACACACCATGGGCTTTTCCCCTGAGTGTGTCCTCTGGTGTCTGATGAGATTCGATTGCTGGCTGAAGCCTCGCCCACAATCCTTGCACACGATGGGCTTATCCCCTGAGTGTATGTTCTGGTGTCTGTTGAGGTGTGACTTCAGGCTAAAGCCTCGCCCACAAACCCCACACACATAAGGCTTCTCCCCGGTGTGCGTCCGCCTATGTGAGATGAGGGTTGAATTCTGGCTAAAGCTGTGCCCACACACTCCACACACATAAGGCTTTTCCTTTGAGTGTGTCCTCTGGTGGTTGACAAGGGTCGTCCTCTGCCTAAAGCATCGCCCACATTCCTTGCAGGCATAAGGCTTCTCCCCTGAGTGCGTTCTCTGGTGTGAGATGAGGTTTGACCTATCACTGAAGCCTAGTCCGCAATCACTGCACACGATGGTCTTCTCCTCTAAGTGTGTCCTCTGGTGTCTAACGACAGCTGACTTCTGGCTAAAGCCTTTCCCACACTCCCGGCACACATAGGGCTTCTCCCCCGAGTGCGTCCTCTGGTGTATGATGAGGTTTGACTTCTGACTAAAGCCTCGCCCACATTCACTGCACATGTAAGGCTTTTCACCTGAGTGTGTCCTCTCGTGTATGATGAGTGTTGACTTCCGGTTAAATCCTCGTCCACACTCTCTGCACACAACAGGTTTCTCCCCCGAGTGTGCCTTCTGGTGCCTGGCAAGGCTTTTCTTTAGACTAAAGCCCTTCTCACACACCCCACACACATATGGCTTCTCCCCTGAGTGTATCCTCTGGTGACTAAGCAGGTTTGTCATCTTGCTGAAGCCCAGTCCACATTCTCCACAATTGACTGTTCCAAATCCTAAGACTTCTATCCTCTTCAATAATTTGTCTGTTTCCTCAGAATTCTCTGCCTGAGCAGGGGTGGCCTCTGTTTCCGCCCCTCTGATGCCATTCCTAGAGCTGACTGGCTGCCTTTGGGGTGGCTTGGATGATGCTGTTAAAGCTTTTTTCTCTGTCTTTCCAAATGAAGGCTTGGGGCCTTCTCTTTCTTGACCTTCTGCTTTATCACCCCAGCAATCTGGATCAGAGGTTTGTTGCTGCTTTATCTGGTCCCCCTGGCACAGATCCCCCGGCTGGATGTGATTTTCTGCACACAAGCATGGGAAGATCCAGGGGGGATGACTACACAGCATGTGCTGCACGTGGAACTTCTGACTAGAGAAACCCGGAGGGCAGAAAGCACAGAGGTGGAGCTCTGGCTTTGCTTCTCCTGCAGAGAGAAGAGTCGGAGGCAGAACTGAGACTCAGGAGGGTAACACCAGTGATTCTGATGGAGAGACTCAATTCCCTGTTCTTCAGAATGCTTAAAATTTAAGTGCTACCCAAACAAGACCTTCCTTTACATGATCCTTTTCCAGCCCATCACATCTTCCAATTTCCGCTACAATCCAGAAAACCCATTCCTGAACCTATTCTATGTGTCAGACTGTAAAAGCATCACAGGCAGTTTCAGATCTGTAAATAGGGCCAAGATGCAACGGTCTCCCCCCTCACTACAACCATCTTCTAACTCACAACCACCCACACTTATATAACCTGGGTCCGCAAGTATTTTCGGTGACCGAGAGATCTCTAACCAGAGGACCCATGTGGAAATGCCATGTCTTTCCCTATGAAGACAAAGGGATAGATTGAGAGAACAGTCATTTAGACTGGAGAACTCCTAGCGTAAGAAGCAGCACAAAAAAGTGGCTAGAATCGCCGCCCGACTGCTTTCCGGAAGACGGCGTGGCAGGTCATAATGGCAGAAGAAGAAATTAATGAAGACTATCCAGCAGAAATCCATGAGTATTTATCAGCATTTGAGAATTCCATTGGTGCTGTAGATGACATGCTGAAGACCATGATGTCTGTTTCTAGAAATGAGTTGTTGCAGAAGTTGGACCCACTTGAACAAGCAAAAGTGGATTTAGTTTCTGCTTACACATTAAATTCAATGTTTTGGGTTTATTTGGCAACTCAGGGAGTTAATCCTAAGGAACACCCAGTAAAGCAGGAATTGGAAAGAATCAGAGTGTACATGAACAGAGTCAAGGAAATAGCTGACAAGAAGAAGGCTGCCAAGTTGGACAAAGGTACAGCTTCAAGATTTGTGAAAAATGCCCTCTGGGAACCAAAACCTAAAAATGCATCCAAAATTGCCAGTAAAGGAAAAAGTAAAAAATAACCTTTTGGTTTTGATGTACACATGTTCAAAAAGTACATCATTTTTATTGTTTAACACAAAATAGATGGTGATTATGTGGCAATGCACTGTTTAAATGTGTTCCTTCTTGAATTCATATATAAAATTTACATTTGAATTTGTAATGCTAAATACATTTGCCCCCAGAAAGATGAAGTTATCTTTATTGATTTTCCTATAGTGTACTGTGAGGCTTTTAACATTGTGGTATATTTTATATTTGTAGTTTACCATCTCTCTTGTCAGGACTCTTGTTTCCTAATATAGGTCAACCTTTCAAGTACTATTTTATAAGCAACTATGAAATTTAAATGTTCTTTATAAACATTTGTCTATTTTAAATGAATAATGACTTTATGAAGTATGCTTTCTGAAGTCTGAAGTTATAAATACATCTGTTTTCACTATATACAAGAAAAAGTGAAATGACTTAAATGTGTTTTTTTTTTATGTGTAGTTACTTCATCATGTTTTCATGATTTGGGAATTGCTTCTTTTGATATTTGAAGTGTGAATTTAAGACTTTAAGGTTATACTTTAACTTTTGGCACTCTGCCTATATGTCCCATTTGAAGTAAAATATATTCTCATTAATTGTGGATGGGAAATGAAGTTGTAATTGATGGCTGAATTTGGGCATAATGGCTACAACCTATCAATAAAGGCTGTAAGTGTTGTATAGCTGACCTGTTTATTCTCTTTTGAGTAAACTTGCCCTTGAAAATGGGAAGTTAGATTTTAGAAATCATTAGGAATAGAAAGATTCATGAGTTTTGTTCCTGATGTGTAGTGCCCACAGTTCTATCAGTCTCACTTTTCATGTTTGATTACATGTTTTTGAGGTCATGTCAAATACATGCAAGCATTTTGGAACAACTTTCTATGTTAACTTCCACTTAAGCAGAGGAGAAAGCTAAAATGATATTTTATTGTGTTTATATTCTGATATATTTTCTTGAAATATTTGTTACAGATAATTCTAACATTAAAATTATTTTGCCGAAACCGGTTTGGCTCAGTGGATGGAGCGTCGGCCTGCGGACTGAAGGGTCCCAGGTTCGATACCGGTCGGGGGCATGTACCTGGGTTGCGGGCATATCCCCAGTTGGAGATGTGCAGGAGGCAGCTGATCGATGTTTCTCTCTCATCGATGTTTCTGACTTTCTATCTCTCTCCCTTCCTCTCTGTAGAAAATCAATAAAATATATTTAAAAAAAAAAAAAATTATTTTTATGGCTAAGCCTTATGAATTTTAATTATATTCCCTTAATGTTTTCAGTCTTTGAATTCACATCATGTGTAGGAATGCCAAGTACAATAAAGTACTTTAATTTCTGAAAAAGAAAAAAAAAAAAAAAAGTGGCTAGAGAGATTGTGTATGAGATGCCTAAACTAGTTTTCCCACTCACTAACGAATGTTTATTAGAAGATTTCTTTTTTTTTTTTTTAAATATACTCTATTGATTTTTTACAGAGAGGAAGGGAGAGGGACATAGAGCCAAAAACATCGATGAGCGAGAAACATCGATCAGCTGCCTTCTGCACGCCCCCCACTGGGGATGTGCCTGCAGCCAAGGCACATGCCCTTGACCGGAACCAAACCCGGGACCCTTCAGTCCGCAGGCCGACGCTCCATCCACGGAGCCAAACCGGCCAGGGCTGGAAGATTTCTTTGTGCCATAATGCAGCAGGTCGACAGCAATGGGCACATAAACAGCCTTAAGAGACGCTCCTTGCTGAGCTCCTGATCAGTTCAATCCCTGATAATTTCTATAATTAATATAAATGAGTTTTCCCCAGAAATCAATGTAAAAGAAAAATTTTCTTCTTATAGTACTTCTTAAGTAGGAGATGTCAACATTCAGAAAAACAAAACGTAAGTAAATATAGTGCCACCTGCACAAGGAATGTTAAACAAGTTATTTAGGCTAAAGAAAAATGATGCCAGGTGGAAACTCAGATCTCCAGAAAGAAAATGAAGAGTACAGAAAATGGTAAATTATCTGAATGCATATAAAATAATTTCTTCTTGATTAAAAAAATACATATCGTATTAGGGAATTTACAATGTATGTAAGCGTAATACAAATAAGAACTACAGAATAAAGAATGTTGGGGAAAGGGGTAAACGGAACTGTGCAATTACAATGTTCTTACATTTTTACATAATAAGTAGGATAGAAAAGTTAGGGCTGTATATCGTAATTCCTTAGAGCACAGGTCGGCAAGCTTTTTCTTAAATGGTCAGATAGCAAATAATTTTAAGCTTTGAGGGTAAGAAGTATAAAACTGAGGATATCATATACTTATGTAACTATTTAAAAATGTAAAATCTACTTTTGGCTCACAGTTTTTTAAGAATTCAATTTCAATTTCTTGGTTGGAGTTTTAGCCTTCCTCCCTCTCCCTGGGCTTGCCTTATTTCTTTTGCTCACTCAGATTTTTTCCACATTCTTGCTTGATCTTTAAAAAAAAAAAAAGTAACGAGAAAGAAGTCCATGAATATGAAGAGAACTGAGTGAGGTAGAGAGGGAAACTCAGGAGGAGGGAGAAAGGCTTCTAGTGGAGGAAGACACACCAGGAGAGCCTGCCCTAGGGTAAGGATGAAGGTCTGGAAGGGAGGCGGCTGTGCCAGGCAATGCAAACAGTGGCCGGGGAGGTAGGCGTAAGTCTTCCCTCCCTACCCCTGAGCAATGCCTCCTCTCCCCCACCCCAAGCTGCCCACACGCAGCTCTATGATCCATTTGCCCAGTTCCCCGCTCACCTGGACAAGTGGCTGGTGGGCATTTTCTCTCCTCTCTCCAGGTTTCCTTCCCTTGCTCCAGCTGGGTGATGAGTTTTGGTTTAGAAAATGGAATTCCTGCTCACAGAGAAAGAAAACAAGGTGGCTGTAGGTTATGGACTCAAGGGCCAAGTCAGAAGGCAAGATGGCTGCTTCAAGCAGATCCTAAAAGGCCCAGCAGCATGCATGGGGGTCCTAAGAGATGCCAGGCTTACCCAGTGAGACCAGGTTGCTGTAGTTTTCCAGCATCACCTCCCTGTACAGGGACCTCTGAGCAGGGCTCAGCAGCATCCACTCTTCCTGGGTGAAATCCACAGCCACATCCCTGAATGCCATGTGTGCCTGTAAAACAAAACACAGCCCTGCTCACCAAGGAGCCAGCCTTGCCCATGGCTCACGGTAATGGGCAGGGAGAAGGCGTCCCTGGGGGAGGCAGGAGAGATATCTAAATCCTACCTTTGACTGCGACCCTGGTGCCAGTGTTCCAAAACCTTTAAACCTCTGTGGCTATCCAGCAAGCAGCACTTGTGAATCTACACATTCAAAACCCTGGGTGAACTGTTTGGAGAATATAGGGTATCCCCCCCCCCAAAAAATGTATATACACACTTTGTATAAAGGCCGTGTTTATTAAAATACATTTCATTTTCAAAATTGAGCTATCAGCTGTTAAAGTGTATATACATTTTTTGAGACACCCTGTATTTGTAACAAAAAAAGTCCCTAACTTTCAGAAACTTTAAATCTAGGCAGACAGAAGAGCAGACAGCATATAAAAATTAAACAATAGTAAAACATGAAAGGCTTTCTGAGTTTTAAGAATTTAAAAAATTAAATAGCATAACCAAGTGAATCAATATTGAAGCTTCTGGCCCTAGCTGGTTTGGCTCAGTGGATAGAGCATCAGCCCTCAGATTGAAGGGTCCTGGGTTCGATTCTGGTCAAGGGCACGTACCTCAGTTGCAGGCTCGATGTCCGGTCCCAGTCGGGGCTTGTGCGGGAGGCAACCAATTGATGTCTCTCTCTCACATCGATGTTTCTCTCTATCTCTCCCCCTCCCTTCCAGTCTCTCTAAAAATCAAAGGGAAAATATCCTCAGGTGAGGATTAACAACAACAAAATATTGAAGCTTCTGAGTGACTGAAGTTCACATACTAGTAATTCAATAATGGCACAGACTAAACTACAACTCAGTCCTTCCCCTGAACTCCATGGCCCCTCAGCCTTCTCAGGCCTGAGAGGCACAAGCAGGAAGTGATGAAGAGCAGGGACTTGAATCACACAGCCTGGGTTCGGGGCCCAACTCTGCCATCAACTAGTGCCTTAATTTTCTCACCTGTGAAATGTGGATAACAGCAAATTTACAGCCCCACACTGTAGATGCTCAGGGCAGACCTTCTTGGCCACTCAATCTACAAATTCATTTCTACATCCCATTCTCACCCCCCTGCCCAGTTCTACTCATATCCGTAATATTTTTTTCAAAATGGAGGGCACACTGGAATACATATATCAAGAAAGATTTCATACCCCAGAGGGAAGGCAGGGGAGGGTGGGGGGAAGGGGGAGAGATTGCATATAAGCATAACCAATAGACACAGACACTTGCGGGGTTAGGGCATGCGTGGGGAGGTGTGGGGCGGGGGGAGAGGGAGGGCAATGGAGGGATAGGTCACATATGTAATGCCTTAATCAATAAAGAAAAAAAAGTTTTAAAAAGAGAAACATTTCATGAGAGAGTCCTAAGAACTTGGTCTTGAAGGATGGGCCAGAATCACAAGAGAAAAGTGCTAGGTATTCCAGATAAAGGAAGCAGAGAAGAGGACACTGAGAGCAAAGGGAGAGAGGAAGCCACAACGTGGACAGGGAGGACGACCTGGGGGGAATAGGCACCTACCGGTAAAACACAGCATAGGCAGAGTGCAGACATCTGTAGGTTTTTTTAATTATTACCATAAGTATACAAAACAAAAATTTTACTATTTTTTTATCATTTTTAATTTTTTAATATTATTACTGATTTCAGAGAGGAAGTGAGAGGGAGGGAGAGACAGAAACAATGATGAGAGAGAACCATTGACTGGCTCTCTCCTGTACACCCATGACTGGGGATCGAGCCCAGGCATATGCCCTGGCCGGCACATGTGTACATTATGTGTACATTTCTGTAGGATTAAGTGTATTCACATTGTTGTACAACCATCACCACTATCCATCTCCAGAAATCATTCATCATCCCACACTAAAACTCTGTAACCATTAAACAGTTAACTCCCTCCTCACCCTGA